TTTGGAATAACTATTTCTTAGGAAATATTAGCTTATATTGAGGGGAAATATGTTACTCTTCAACTCTTACCGCTTTATAGCATGTTCAATCTTATCTTCATCAACTGCACCCTGACAAACTCAAACTGCTTGCTGATTTGATCTGAATTAAATGCTGTTCTCAATAGTTTGATTCACTATTTCAAATACTCCTTCCTTCTTGACTAGCCATTTCCCACCAAGGAAGAATCTTTTTTTATTTTTAGGCAATTGGGGTTAAGTGACTTGCCCAGGGTCACACAGCTAGTAAGTGTCAAGTGTCTGAGGCTGGATTTGAACTCAGGTCCTCCTGACTCCAGGGCCGGGATTCTATCCACTGCACCACCTAGCTGCCCCAAGGAAGAATCTTAGGGAAGAGGAGACATTCCTGTCTATCTCCCTCTCCAAATGGCTAGTTGGGAGGGAAAAACAAAAAGGAAACACAATCTTCCAAATGTTCCAGACAAAGGACAAAAGATTAATCACACCCCTTTAAAGGAAGATTGATGCTCAAACTAAGGGAAAGTAATGCATCTGAAAACTTGGTTGATGAAAAAAAGCTGCTGCTACGAACGATGTCCCTTCTACAGGTGAAAAGATAAGAGTGCTCACTGAGTTAGACTCAGCATATTGATCATCCTGTGAGCTTTAGTCCTTACTTTAGCACCACTGCTTTTTTTATTCACCCATTAGGTCAGGCAGAATTGAAGTTGTAAGACTTGACTTTGAGTTTCCATCAGTCACAAAGTCCCGACAAGCAGGAAGCTCGATTTCAAGTACGCAAGAGGCAGCACGAATTTTCCATTTTCTCTACCAATCTCCCACCCATCCAAGTCCTTTTCACGTGACTCTTTGTATACCAAGACTCAGAGTCCAGGCCAATGTTCAATAACAAGAGAGTTACAAATAATTTATAGCTCACTGGCCCTTGGGAAGAGCTAGTGGGGGACAATTTCTACAGGTCCAAACATGAAGTGGGGAGAAGGGAGGAGGGAGGATTTTAGTGGATTCATCAGGTAGGGGAGGAAAAAGGTAAACTTGTACGTGGACAGACTAAGGAATCAGGCTGGTGACCTGGGAATGGTTTAGTTGTGCCAAATATAACCTTGGGCAAGTCTCTTAACTACTTTCACTTTCCTGTCCAAAATTCTTCTTCCTGGTGACAACTTCCTAATACATATTATCTTCCATCATAATGTAAATACCTTTGAGGGCAGGAACTGCCTTCCATAGTTGTATTTGTACCCCTAGGAGTTAGCACGGTTCCTAGTACATATTAAATGCTTGACAGATGTGTTGGGTTTTTTTTAATTCATTTATTCACGTCAGGAGTATATTTGCAAATGTATGCCCTTGAGCCTGGTGCCACCATGAAAGCAGGTAGTGCTATCCTGTCCTCAGTGTCATCATAATAGTAATAAAGCTGGGGTTCAAACCCAGGTCCTTTGAATCTAAAGCCAAACTATTCCACTACATTACACTGTGTGTCTAATGGATGGGATACTACCATCTTAGAAACTCCATGAGAGCAAAGGACCATGCCAGGTTGACTTTTATTCTTTCCAAAGTCCTGGCTTCCTTCAAGTCCCAGCTAAAATCCCCTATTTCTGGAGAAGTCTTTCCTGATCCCCCTGAAGTCTAGAGCCTTCCCTCTGTTGAATATCTCCAGTTTATCTTGTATAGCTCTTGTTTGTACAGAGCTGTTCTCATATTGTCTCCCCCATTAAACTGTGAGCTTCTTGAGAGTAGGGAATCTGTTTTGCTTCCTTTTTTTTTTTTTGGTATCCATAACTCTAAGCACAGTGCCTGGCATATAGTAGGCATAATAATAAATGCTTATTAGCTGACTGAATACACAGTAGGCATCTATTATTTGCTGAATTGAGCCGAGTTTGATGATGTTTACTGATGAGACCTTGGCAACTGATCTTCACAAGTTCTAGCATTAGCCATTTGCAGCTTTATACCATCAATGGACCCTGGCTAGGTGGTTCAGTGGATAGAGTGTCAGGTCTGCAGTCAGGAAGACTCATCTTCCTGAGTTCAAGTCTGGCCTCAGACACTTACTAGTTGTGTTACCCTGAGCAAGTCACTTAACCCTGTTTGCCTCACTTCTTCAGCTGTAAAATGGGGGAGAAGGAAATGGAAAATTGCTCCAGTATCTTTGCCAAGAAAACCTCAAACGGGGTCACAAAGAGTCAGACACGACTGAAAAACAATTGGACAACAATAAAAGAAGAAAATCATTCCTATTTGACCAAGCCTCACCTCTGTGAAAACCAGGAAGGATAAAATATTAATCAGGTAAATATGTGAGGCTGAGTTCAGACTCAAATTTTTCTCCCCTTCCCCTTCATGTCCATATCATGCAACTGAACAACGGTACACCACCGAGCATTACTATTCCGTGCTTATGTCTTGCCTCTCCTATTATAGTAGCTATGAGCTCCTTGAACTATAGGAACATGAGATCACAGATCAATAGGTATGAGGCCTCAGGGGCCATCTAGTTCAACTCCCTCATTTTGCAGTTAAGATAACTGAGGCCCAGGACCCAGGTAGATTAACTAATTGGCCCGAGGTCACAGAGGAAGTATCTAAGGCAAGATCTGAACCTAGATCCTTTAACTTCATAGAAGATATTCTTTCCATTGTACCATGCTGCCTCCTCAAAGGTAAGAGCCATGTCATCCTCACTCTATGTATTCCCTAGACATTAAGGACTAATGCATTAGTAGGTAACCAATGTACTTTTTTAAAAAATAAAATTTTATAGATATCTTTTGCTTTACATTGCCTAGATTTCTTCCAATATTCTTTCCTCTCCCCACTCCATGAGCCATTCCATATATAACAAAGAAAATTTTTAAAGAAAAAAAAAGAAAAAGAGGAAGACATAGAGGGAGGTGTCATTTTATGTCTTCTTTGGGGCCATGATTGTTCTTTGTAATTCTGTGATATTTATTTTCAGTGGTTTTGTGGTGGTTTTTCTTTTCATTCACATTGTTGTCATCAAGTATGTTATTTTCTGGTTCTGCTCACTTCATTCTGCATCAGGTCATATAAGTCTTTCCATGCTTCTTTGTATTCAACATGTTCATTATTTCTTATAGCACAATAATATTCCATTGCATTTATGAACCACAACCTGTTAAGCCATTTGACAATTGATGATCATCTACTTTGTTTCCAATTCTTTGCTACCGCCAAAAGTGCTGCTATACCTATTTTGTTGAATACAGGAAATTTCTCCTTAACAAATATCTTGAGGCATTTGCCCAGTAGTGGAATCCCTGGTTCAAGGGTGTGGATATTTTAGTCACTATATTTGCATAATTCCAAATTGCTTCCCACTGATTTGCAGCTTCAGCAACAATATTCTAGTATATCTCTCTTCTCCCAACCCCTTCAACTTTGGCTATTCTCATTTTCAATCATCTTTGTCAATTTGCTAGGTGTAAAATGGAACCTCAGATTGTTGTAATTTGCATTTATCTTTTAATTAGTGGTGTGAAGCATTCTTTCCCATGTTTATTAAAAGTTTGGACTTATTTGAACAAGTTCTTATTCATATCTTTTGACCACTTATCTAATGGAAAATGGTTTTTGTACCAATGTACTCTTTACATAGATGATAACTCTTCTCTTATCCTGCCATCCACAAGATGTATGCTTTCAGTTGTGTTTCCCTCGGTGGGGATGGCCATGTACCAAACCAACCATATTTCCTTTACAAAATTCCTCTTGTTGTCAACAGCATGCACTGGTGAGACAGCTGACCTAGATTAGTAGTGAAAGCTCAGTTTGTAAAGATTGAGTAAAATTAAATAGCAGCGTGATATTTAAATCTTAGATTTCTTGAGTTTGTTGACTATAAAGGTTAATTTTCCATGTATATATCCACATGGACTTCAGATGGAACACCCCCTTCAGATGTTTACATCAAGGCTCCAGAAAAGATGAGGACTCTAATTCCTTTCAGGATAAAATCATTCAATATACTGCCTTTCCATTCAGAGCAAGAAGGTATCTGTCACTCAAACCTGCACTCCCTGGGATAAAGGCTTGTCAATCATGTTCCACCTGAGCAGCCCTGGACATGTTTTATTGAAACAACGACCTACCAGCCTTGCCTGGAAGGAGCATTGATTCTTGGTGTAAAGTAGTTTGGGGAAAAAGAAACACAACAACTTGGCGTTCCTCAGAGGACCCACTGTCCCACCTTCCAATATGTCTATCAAAGACCCAAGCATACTGCAAAATTCATTTTAAAATGCCATTGCTATCTTATTTATTATTAGGAATAAGAACCACTGAATGTTGAATGTCCTCTTGGAATGAAAAAAATCCTGTACTTATATATGGTTATTGACCGAGATATTTCATTAGCATCAGTTGCAGAAGTCAAGAAATGAATGAGAAATATATAGGCACCAAAGAACAATGCAAATTAATAGTCCACTGCTGGCAGTCTAGTTTCCCAAGGGCAAATGGGGTCAGCCAGAGAGACCAGAAAAAAAGAAAAACTCACCTACTAAAAGAAATAGAAGTTCTACACCAACAGAGCTTGGGAAGCTATGAATTCATTGAATAAAACTCAATTATGGAGGGATGGTGGAAAGCTGCCTGCCAATCTAGCCTAGCATATGTGTATGAAACAGAACATCCTGGTGAAGAAACCCAGAGCAACTTTTAACTATAATGACAGTCTGTTAATTGGAAACTGAGGATGCCCCTTAGCTGAAAGAAGGGAAGAATAAAAATAGCAATTGTACTGTTGCGAAGACTGGATGAAATTAAATGGCAATGCGATATTAAACCTTCATGACCTAGGTTTCTTGGGTTTGCTGATCATAAAGGTTCATTTTCTATGTATGTATATCTGCATGGACTTCAGATGGAACAACCCCTTCCACTGGGAGCCATTAAACGATTCACCCCAGCCATTTAACATAACCAATCAAAATAGCCAGAATACTCACTGTTCTTTTTGTACATCAGGATTTCAAAAGAGTTCATTTCATAATTCTCAAACGTCTGCCGCACCTTCTCAATTGTATCTTTGTCTGTCAGCTCCCCATACATAAAACTGTAAATCAATCAACAAGTCCAAATTAAAACACTCCTGCTCAACCCGACAAAAACTTACCAAATATGGTCATTATGCTAGGTTCTGGGGCTACAAATGCAAAGAAAGAAAAATCCTTTACTCTCAAGACTACTTTCTATTAGTAGATACCTATTATTCTTTTCTAACACTATTTGTATCTTTGAACATATCCTAAGACCTGTTGGCTATGTTGTACTATAATTACTCACTCAATTAAGCTGAATATACCATTTGAAAATATAAGTTAAAGGAAATAATTTCCTATTTTGCATCTTGACCAAAACCTTAGAGGCCAAGGAGACTTCTTGGAGACCTTGGAGAGGTAGTCAAACCAAAATGAGTTTGAATGCACAAAGTTAGAATGTGAACAGAAAATCAGAGGCACAGGCTTTCAGATTCACTCCATGAGACAGACAGTACAAATAGTACCCCTTGCCCCCTTCACAGAAAAGGAAACTGAGGTTGTCCAAGATCATATAACTAATATGTAAGTAAAAGAAGCAAGACTTGAAACCAGGTCTTCTGAATAAGTATTTTCCCTAATGTGACACCTTCTCTGATCTCTCCTACAGAGAATACACCATAGAATTTAACTCAGAGTCATTATTTTGAAGAGTAAAAGTTCCACACTTTTGAGGATGCACCTACCATTTGCTGACTGAATGAATGACTGCAAAGCTCTGTGCTGGGTCTTGGGGAAAATACAAAGTTTGAGTAAGACATCCTCTTTGCCCTCATGATATTCAGAGTTCAGGAAAGAGATTTGACACATACTCAAATGACCACAAAACAAAACAATATCAATTATTGTGCTGTAATATAGCTATACTCTAAGGGGTGATTGAAGCAATTTGCCCAGCTACTAACCAAGTGGCCCCAGACTACTGAACTTGTTTAATCAAAGCAATCAATGAGCATCTATTAAGATCTGACTGTGTGCCAGGCATTGTGCTTAGAACTAGAGAATACAAAGAAAAAACAAAAAGAAACAGCTCTTCCCACCAAGAAGCTAATATTCTATTGGGAGAGATATGCATCTAATAAGCATGTATATACAGTATGTATACACAATAAAGGCAAGTCTGTAGGGGAAGGCACTAGTTACTGGGAGAGGGGAGCATTGGCAAAGGCCTCATGTAGAAGGTGCTCCTTGAGCAGAATTTAAAAAAAAAAAAAAAAAGAATTCTAAAAGGCAGAGGTGAGTCCATTGTAGGCATGGGAAATACCCAGTACAAAGTCATCGAGATGGGAGATGAAGTAATATGTGTGAGAAATAGCAAGAAGGTCAGTTTGACTAGACCAGAGATGGGAAACCTTACGTGCAGCCTTTTGACTAAATCCAAATTTTATAGTTCAAAATTTGGATTCAGTAAAAAAGGCATACTTAAGGATCTAGAAGGCCACATGTGGCTTCAGGGACACAAGTTCCCCACTCCTGGACTAGACCATACTGTGTATGAAGTGGGATAAGCTAGAAGTCAGTCAATAAGAATTCATTATGAACTTACTATGTACCAAGCACTGTGCTAAGTATAAATTTGTAAAGGTAGGTTGATACCAGGCTATAAAAGGCTTGAAAAGCCAAACATAGGAACTTAAAATAAAACATAATTTCACAGATAATTAAGAGTCACTGGAGTTTGCTGAATTGGGGAGTGACTATCAGATCCAAACTTTAGGAAAACCACTTTAGCAACTGTCCAGAAGATTGATTGTAGAGGAGACACACTTGAGGCAAAAAAGCCAAGACTATTGCAGTAGTCCTGATGGAGGTGATTAGAGCATGAACTCATTAGACTGTGAGTTCCTTGAGAGCAGGGACTGTCTTTTACTTTTCTTTCTATCTCTAATACTTAGCACAGTGCCAGCTACATAGTAGGTGCTTAATAAATGTTTATTGACTAAGTGGGAAGATGTGGAAGGTAGAAATCAAAAGATTTGGCTACTGATTGGAAGTAAAGAGTGAAGGATGCCACCCACTGGAAGGATGGTGTTGTCCTTGACAGAAATAGAGGATTTCAGGAAAGGGGTGGGTTCTGAGGGAAATACAATAACTTCAGTTTGGGACATAGTGAGTTTGAAATGCCTCGTGGGACATCGATTTAAATAGGCAGTTGAAGACATAGAAATAGAGTTCAGGGAAGAGATTAAAGTTAGATGTAGAAAATTTTGGCAATATCTGAATGAAGATAATAATTAAACCAAAGACATATGATATTAAAACTTTTTTGAGATCTTATTCTTATTTTTTTTACTACTATACTTACAGGGCACCTGTAATAGTATTGTCACAGAGCAGTTTTTCTCCCCCTTTGCTATAAGACTATCAACTATTATTTCTCAATCATGCCAATGTCCTTCTAATGGAAACTTCTCCAATTTGCATGGCTAGGAAACCACATAATAGAGCTTGTTAAAATGGTAGTTAAATAAGAATAAACGGACTCTGAGTGAGAGTCCTCCTATGAATAAAAGGCATGAGTTTTATTACAGGTATTCTGTGACATCTGTTTTGGCTCCTCAGAGCTACTGGTCACTTCCTGGTTTCTGGCTGAGTTTCAGATGGCTGCTGGGCAAGTGGTCTCCAACAAACTGAAGTGTGTGTGTGTGTGTGTGTGTGTGTGTGTGTGTGTGTGTGTGTGTGCATGCTACCAAGATACTTCTTAAAATTCCATAAAGGGAACTCAAAATTCCATAACAATGAATTGGCAAATAAAATAAGATGAATTCATTCCCTACTTTATCAATTTTCTCTATACTGTATCAGGTCATGGTATTGTTTTAGGTGCCTTGTAGGTACGGTAATTTCCCACTTAGCTGGATGTCAGATTAAGAAGTGGGAAAAGGATCTCTGAGCTGCTAGTGCTACAGCTCTTGAAAGAACTCCTGCCATATTCTTCAAGGGGCCTAGAGCTACCCTCAACACAGAGCATATCATGGAAGGTAGAAACTTTGCTAACGTCAGTTGAGTTTAATGATCTCTCTTTAGGTGTTGGAATGCTACTAATAGTACTAGTAATGAGGATATTAGGTGGCACTCTGTTTAGAGTGATGGCACTAGTCAGGAGAACATGAGTTCAAATCTAACCTTAGACAACTGCTAGCTGTGTTATCCTGGAGGCAAGTCACTTTACCTCCAGCTGCATGTCTGACTGTATCATCTCTGCTCAATAAATTCCAGAGGTTCCATATTGTTTCTAGGATCAAACATAAAGTCATTGATTGGCACTGAAAGATCTCCCAGTGTGGCTCCTTTCTTTCTTTCCAGTCTTCCATATGTTATTCCCCTAATCATATTCTACAATCCAGCCATACTGTCCAACTTGCTCTTCCTAATCTGTGACTCTCTATCTCCTGTCTCTATGCCTTCTCCTAGCTGTCCCTTGCGCATAGAATGTTCTTTCTTCTCACCTAAGCTTCTTAGAAACTTTCAAGACTGAGCTTAATTCTTACCTTCAGCAGGAAAACTTTTCTTGTCCCACTTCCCCCCAACTGCTAGTGTCTTTTCCACTAAGGGAAATATTTATTTAATGTTTATATATTGTATGTAACCATACACATACGTGTTTTTCCCCTTTTTAGGATATAAGTTCCTTGGGAGGCAGGGATTATTTTTACTTTTTCTTTCTATCTGTAAAGTTTAGCTCAATGCCTGGCACATAGTAAGCACTTAATGAATGTGTGTTGGTGGATGGGAGTTTGGGGAAAAATATGTTGTTCCCCTTCTCCAAAATTATTCAGTAGACATCCGCTCCTTGAAGTTTTCTTGCCCTGAATTCCCATAGTGCTAATCATTTGAGTCCTCCACAATGATTAACAGTGTAGATCAGTAGCCTGAGAATTAGATAGGGAATCAGAGACTGAGATTCTTATGAATATGATGCTACTAACTAGCACCTTGACCTTGGGCAAGTTGCTTCCACTATCTAGGACTCTGTTTCCTCATCCATAAAATAAAGCCATTGGACTGAATAATCTCTATGCCTTCTTTGAACAATATCATTGCAGCACTTTGTACTGTGCCTGGCACCTAGGACGTGCTTAATAAATGTTTATTAACTGATTGATTCTGTGGTTCTTTAAAAGTCAGAAAACTTTTGTTAACTCAGTAGCTCTCCAGTTTTGTTCCCATTGCCTGAGGAGGGGAGCAGTATTGAGGAAATAAAGCAGGAAAGGGAAATTGGGGCTTTGTACATGCTAGGAATAGATGATTTATAAACAGTTGGAAGACCTGAAAAAAGTTTTTACTAGTCATTGGGTGAAAATGAGAATTTCACCCAAAAAAATGTAAAAATACTTAAATTTTTTTGTTTTAAAAATTCTTAATGGTACACTGTTTCAACACAGGTGATATCTTTCAACATATACTAAACAAATCCCTTACAAAGCCCATTGCCAGAAAAACATTATTAACCAAACAGAGAATATGTCTTTTGATTTTGAGAGTATGGTTCTGTAATTAACCAGAATTTCATTGCCTCTCCATGACAACTTCATTTATAACATCATAGTCATTTTGTATATTGTTCTGTTGGCTCTATTTCTTCACTCTATATGTAAAGCTTTTAAAAAGTGCCCTTTACAGATCTAAAATCACTTTATTAGCTTATCAATATAAAAATGTATTATGTATGATGTTTATCTTGTTACACTCATAAATTTTCTTTAATATATTGAAAAATGTAGTTTGTTCAAAGAATAGGTTAAAATCAATCAATTGTAAATGGTTCCTATTTTTGTTATAAGCAGAATATCAACTACTGAATTTCAGGAAATTTAGCATCTTATCATTTTTGACCATTTATAAGTAGGCTAATACTTGGAAACATAAAACTATCATCAACATTAAGTAAAAACAAAGACACTATTTTACTAGGAGGTAACATTCCTCAAGTCAAACTGATGGTAAAGTTTATACAAAAAAAAGCTCATTTTCAGAAAAAAAAATTCAGGAGGAAAAGAATAAAGAAAAAAGACAAATAGAATACAACTTTTGTTGAATGGAATTTAGTGTAATCAGTCTTGTTTTTATGAGTTCTATCAGCAGTTTCTGTTCCTGATCCTGTGCTACTGTTGTTGTTCAGTTACGTCTGACTCTTCGTGACCCCATTTGGGGCTTTCTTGGCAAAGATACTGGAGTGGTTTGCCACTTCCTTCTCCAGTTCACTTTACAGATGAGGAAACTGAGGCAAACAGTATCAAATGATTTGCCAGAGTCACACAGCTAATAAGTATCTGAGGTCATATTTGAACTCAAGAAAATGCATCTTCCTAACTCCAGGCCTTGCACTCTATCCACTTCACCAGCTGCCCCTGTCTGATCATAGATTTTCATAATCTTCACCCACTTATTCAAATAAAAATTTTACTATGATGATGATATTAATAATAGCTAACATTTATATCACCTACTATGTGCCGGGCACTGTGCTAAATGCTTTACAATTATTATCTCATCTGATCCTCATAACACCGGGAAGAAGGTGGATGGGGACAAGTGTTATTATCTTCTTATTTCATCTAAGTGTTTCCAAACATAGATCCATTTATTTATTTCACATACTGGAGAAGATGAAGATTCTGAAGAAGAAGGAGCTAGAGGAATCATAACTTGTATTACTCAAAGGCTTTCTTCCACATTGTAAGAAGACTATATTTTGAAATGACCCACCCTCCATTCCTGCCTCTAACAACTAAATGTATTTTCTGTTCTGAAACATTTGAAAGCTAAGGATTCTATGAGGTAAAGGTGAGGCAGGGATACATTCTTGACATAAGGTACAGCTGTACAAAGATGTGGAGATGGGAGATGGAATGTCATGTTTAGGGAAGAGCACACCAGCCATTTTGGCTTGAACACAAGAATACATGGAGAGTATTGTCCAATAAGCCTAGAAAGATAGGGAGACACAGGTGGTGAAGGCTTTAAAAGCCAAACAGAGGAGTTTTTATTTTATGCTAAAGGCAACAAGGGTCCACTGGAACTTCCTGAGCAGGAGAGTGACATGGTTAGACCTATGCTTTAGCAGTATCAATTTGCCAGCTAAGTGGAGGATGGATTAGGGAGAGCAAAGCCTGGAACCTGGGACACCAAATAGGAAGCTACTATAATAATCCAGGTGAGAGGTGATGAGCCTTCCTGCTGCATATATTTTAAAATTCATCTTAGGAAAGCAAAGAATGAGTAATATCATATGACCATGTTGCCTTAATCATTCTTTAAAAATCAGGATCTAATTCTTTGTAACTTTTAGAGGGAAAATAATGTATTTCAAGGAGTAGGAGAGAAAGGAGAAAACTTTATTTTTCATTTTTCAATTTTTTTTTCTGGCTTTCACATCTCTCCATTGGTGGATTGATAAATGTTGCCAATAACAATTTCAAACACTGTTATCATTTGTTTTGTTTATTTTTCTTCAGAACTTCATGAGAGATTACTGGGGGCAAAAAAGGCAGCATGGAATAGCAGGGAAAACCCTGAACCTTGGAATCAGGAAAGATGAGTTGAAGTTGTGGCTCCCAGCTCTAATGCTTACTATTTATGTGGCCCTTAGTAAATTCTTCACTTCTCTGAGGCTGTTTCTATCCCTATAAAATAGGAATGATTTTTGCAATACAGATTTATCTTGAAGAAAGCCTGAAAGTACTATGGAAATGAATTGTGGTCATTACTATAATTAGAAAGATTCCAAAGATAACTACCTGCAGGTACTGCTTTTTTGCATAACTTCCGCCCTGTGGTATCCTGATAACTTGCAAAATCCATCATTGCTGTAGACGATGGGCCAGTCCACTATCTGAGCGTTGCCCAGCACAAAGTTGGTATCTGTTGGAGAGAACACACGCAGTCAGATGTCTAAATGGAATATGGTGAAGGAATGATGGGATATCAACTAGTCATGGTACTTCTCACTCCCTGAAACCCACTGCCATAAGGTGTCTTTGAATGAGAGCCTGGCACTCGCCTTGGGAGAGACAAACAAGAGGAAATCTATCCATGTAAATACAAGCCATCAGTGTGTCAGCTGTCTCAGACTGCAAAGACACTAGGAAAGGGAATCAGTTTAAGTGACTGGTCAAGAGACTCCTAAAACTGCCTAGAAACCCAGTGAGATCTCTATAGGACAATAGTCAGTGTTCATGCTAATAGAGGGATACAGGCAACAAAACAACAGATAATTCTCAAGTTATTTCTTCTTGGCCTTTTATGTTAGTTTCCATGTCTTGCCAGGAGCAGTAACAGATTTGCTTTCCTAATTCAATTTGGCTTGGGCTAACAATGAGTCTGCACACCCCAAGCAGGGGCAGGCAGCTGGAAAGCAGGCTGAGTGGCAGGTGGAGGTTTAGGTCCCAGGGATTAAACCTAGCAAGTAGATATAGACTCTATTTACATATTTGTTCCCTAGCACTAAACTGTGCTCAAGCAGAGGCTGAATTGCCACTTACTAAGGATGTTGTAGAAAGTATTCATGTTTCAGGTATTCCCACCTTCATACCTTCACAGAGACTGCCCTAAAAGCCTGGAATGAATGCCTCATCTCAACAAGTCAACAAGTATTTTATAAGTGTTTATTATGTGCCAGGCACTGGGGAAACAAATATAAGCAGAAAGGAAGACAGTCTCTGCCCTCAAAGAGCTTCCATTCTAAGGGGGTGGGGAAACACATAAAAGAAAGCTAAAAAGCAGAGGAAGGAAGGGAGGAAGGGAGGGAGGAAAGGGCATATTGGAGAAAGTCCAGAGAGTCAGAAATGGAGCCTGGAGACAAAAGAGGACATGGTTGGCCTGGACACTTTTCTTAAAATGGAAGGATCAACCAATCGAAAAGGGTGTCACAGAAGCAGAGTGAACTGAGGAGGTCACATGGTTTAAAAAAAATCCTTTAATTAGCATCCTTAGTTGTCTTCAAGACCCAGTTTCAACATTACCAGCCTTTCCTGATCCCCCAAAACAGTAGTTCTCTTCTCCTCTGCCTTCCTCAAATTTTATTCACTCATCTGTGTAAATATTGCATCCACTCAGCAGAATATAATCTCCTTAAGGGCAGGGAATATTTTGTTGTTGTTGTTTTTTTCCTTTAATTCCCATGCCCTGCATGTAGTAATTACATTAATAAGTGTTTGTTTAGTGAATAGATAGTATCTGAGGTCTCCTTTAACTACAATTTCTCCTGTTTAATTTGCAAAGTTGATAACCCACTCAGAGATAAACAAGAATTAACCACGGGGCGGAGCCAAGATGGCAGAGGGAAAGCAGTGACTGTCTTGAGCTCTCTCCCAAAGCCCTCCAAATACTTAAAAAAATGACTCTAAACAAATTCTAAAGCAGCAGAACCCACAAAAAGACAGAGTGAAACAAATTTCCAGCCAAAGACAACCTGGGTGGTTGATCAGAAAGGTATATCACGCCAGGCGGGGAGAGGAACTCAGTTTGGTGTGGGTGCGCAGGCTGCACCGACCATGGAGCAGGCCTCAGAGGACTGAATCGCGGGCAGCTGTGGCGGTTTCCAGACTTCTCAACCCAGGAACGCCAAAGACAACGTGGAAGGTCAGTGGGAAAAATCTGTGACTGTGGTGAGAGAGGAGCTAGGTCTCAGCCACAAGTCCTGAGCATGCCCTCGGGGCAGCGACTGTTTCCTGAGTTTCTGGCCCACAGACTGAGGGGGAATGCAGTGGCTGATCAGAGGGGGATTACAAGGATCTCTTTGCCAGGGCTGAGGCAGGAATCTCTTGCTTTACCAGTGCTTGGATCTGGATCACAGTTCTGAGGGGCAGTCCTGGGGCGAGGAGGAGCACTGGTGTGGTGGAGCTTGTTGTTGCTGTGGAGAGGAAACACCTCCCCCCCTTACCATAGCACCTTGGAAGAACTGAAAATTTACAGGTCCCTAGAAGTAGCTCTGAAAACAGCTGTACAAACCCCCGAAGCTTGGGACAGTACACTCTTCACATTGGAAGCAGACTTTTACCTTAACAAAGAGTTTAAAACTCAAGTAATTGGCCGGGATCATGAGTAAGCAGTGCAAAAAGAGTCAGACTCTATTATCTTACTTTGGTGACAAAGAAGATCAAAACATACAACCAGAAGAAGACAACAAAGCCAAAACTCCTACATCCAAAGCCTCCAAGAAAAATATGATTCAGTCCCAGGCCTTGGAAGAGCTCAAAAGGGATTTTGAGAAGCAAGTAAGAGAAGTAGAGGAAAAACTGAGAGTGATGCAAATCATGAAAAGGAAGTTAACAGCTTGCTAAAGAAGACCCAAAAAAATGCTGAAGAAAATAACACCTTAAAAATACCCTAACCCAAATGGCAAAAGAGGTCCAAAAAGCCAATGAGGAGAAGAATGCCCTAAAAATCAAAATTGGACAAATGGAAAAGGAAGTCCAAAAGATTACTGAAGAAAATACTTCCTTAAAAATTAGAATACAGCAATTGGAAGCTAGTGACTTTATGAGAAATCAAGACACTGTAAAACAAATCCAAAAGAATGAAAAATTAGAAAACAATGTGAAATATCTCACTGGAAAAACAACTGACCTGGAAAATAGATTCAGGAGAGAGAATTTAAAAATTATTGGACTATCTGAAAGCCATCATCAAAAAAGGAGCCTAGACATCATCTTTCAAGAAATTATCAAGGAAAACTGCCCTGATATTTTAGGACCAGAAGGCAAAATAGAAATGGAAAGAATCCACTGATGTCCTCCTGAAAGAGATCCCCAAAGGAAAACTCCTAGGAATATTGTAGCCAAATTCCAGAGCTCCCAGGTCAAGGAGAAAATATTACAAGCAGCCAGAAAGAAACAATTCAAGTACTGTGGAAACACAAGCAGGGTAACACAAGATTTAGCTGCTTCTACATTAAGGGACCACAGGGCATGGAATATAACATTCCAGAGGGCAAAGGAGATAGGATTACAACCAACAATCACCTACCCAGCAAAACTGAGTATAATCCTGCAGGGGAAAAAATGGTCATTCAGTGAAATAGAGGACTTTCAAGCATTCTTGATGAAAAGACCAGAGTTGAATAGAAAATTTGATTTTCAAATACAAGACTCAAGTGGAACATGAAGAGGTAAACAGGAAAGAGAAAATCCTAAGAGACTTATTAAGGTTGAACTGTTTACATTCCTGCATGGAAAGATGATATTTGTAACTCATGAGACCTTTGTCAGGATTAGGGTAGTTGGAGGGAAAAAAATTATATGTACATATATATAGATATAGATAGAGGGCACAGAGTGAGTTGAAAATGAAGGGGTCATATCTGGAGAATAAAATTAAGGGGTGAGAGAGGAATATACTAGGAGAAGGAGAAAGGGAGAGGCAGAATGGGGTAAATTATCCTACAAAAAAAAACAGAAAAGAAAAGGCTCTTATAATGGAGGGGAAAAGGGAGAAGGTGAGAGGGAATGAGTGAATCTTATTCTCCTAGAATTTGACTTAAGGAGGGAATAACATACACACTCAATTGGGCATGGAAATCTGTCTTACCCTACAGGAAAATGGGGGAGAAAGAGACGAGAGTAGGGGGATGACAGAGAGGAGGGCAGATTGGGAAAGAGGGTAATCAGAAGCAAATACTTCTGAGGGGGGACAGGGTCAAAAGAAAGAATAGAATAAATGGGTGGGCAGGATAGGATTAAGGGAAACAGAGTTAGTTTTTCACAGCATGTCTACTATGGAAGTGTTTTGCATAACTGCACATATATAACCTATATTTGGTTGCTTGCCTTATCAATGAGGGTGGGTGGGGAGGGAGGAAGGGAGAAAATTTGAAACCCAAAGTTTTAAAAAGGAAGATCAAGAATCTAGAATCTAGAGCAACAAGTGTCCAATTCAAATGCAAATGAATCTGTATGGGCTGCATATTGACTTAGAATACCACAAATTAACATTAAAAAAATAAATAAATAAAATATATTTTCATTGCAAAAAAAATAAAAAACGAATTAACCACAGCCTGATTTTGTGGAAGTTGAACCAAATCCTCCCCCTACCAGAGCTATAACAAGGGCAAGACAACCAGGGCTTTGGCCCAGGGTGTCAAAATGCAGAGGACACTGAAAGCATTTCCTTCATAGCATAGAAACAACTGGGTTAAATGCCTACTTACCAAAGGTAATTCCTTAAAATGGAAGCTACCAGATGGTATGGGTATGCCTACTCCTCCACTGAAGCCACACCTTAAGTGAGTTCCTCTGAAGCCGGTCCTGGTCTACTCCAACCATTGAGTGGCAGCTAAAATGACCTCACTGTGTCCCAGAGAATGTCACCACACTGGGGCATCTCCCTGGCCAACTGAAGTCTCTCAGTTGCCAAAAGTAATTCGTATGGCTCTCCTTCCATCTAAATTCAGCAGCTTAGGAAACTGCATTAAGCCTTTCAGGTCACCCTAGAGCTATTCTGTCATTTATCACTTTCATGCTTCAAATAGTATAGATGAAAGCCTAGCTTATTTATTTTTATTCTCTCCATTTTAGGAGACCTCTCAGGTCCTTGTGGACCTCCTCCCTCCCCATCTTCCTTCTTTCTTTCAGGAACTTGGATCATGTAAATAACACCTAATTTACCAGGAGGGTAAACAATGCTTACTAGAATTGAATCTGAAATTAAAATAAATGGGCCCTGAGCAAGGGTTTCTTCTATGAGCAAGAGGTACATGCTTTAGTTCAAAGACTTTACGTTCTGGCTGCCTAGAGAGGTATTCCAACATCCAAAAGAAAATTCACTGTTTGGAGCTGATGTGTTTGTACTGATGTATAAACTCAGCAAAACATAATTAGGAAAGTAACTTGCTGCTTAAGTAAAGAGTATAGCTTCATGCT